TGGGAGCGGTGGGATCACTGCTGGGGGGCTCCCCAGCATCCTGCACTGGGAGGCAGCCGGGGAGATGGAGCGCCACCGGTGCGGTGCTGACACGCTGTCACCACGGTGGTGACACTCGCGGTCAATAAACTGTGCCTGCTTCCATCCCGCTGGGATCAAAGCCCGGGATCAAAGCCGCTGTCACCCACTGAACGCTCCAGGCACCTCACTCTGCCTGTGGAAAGACACGCCACGCATGTCCCGTGTCCTGGAAGATGTCACCGTACGTGTCACACACCCTTAGCCATGTCACCGTGTCACCGTGTGTCCCGAGCACCAGCGCGTGTCACGAGGCTCACACCCCTGGCACTGCTTCCACACGTGTCCTGCGGCTCGAAGGTGACACCAGAATATGTCACCACACAGTGCCTGCAGGCACTGATGGGTCTGGGGAATTGGGATTAGGATTTGAGGGTGCTGGGCTGGGGTGGGCCTGTTGGTCACCACTGCTTGGTGACACCCCACAGTGCAAGAGTCCTTAGCAAAGCACTGTCCAAACCCCACTGCCACCTGTGACACCTAATCCTCCTTCGAGAAGGTGCCTGCAGGGCTGAGGGTGGCAGTGTGACAGCAAGGATGGGCATGCCAACCATCCGAAAGCTCTTTGGGTGCTCCAGAACTGGGACGATGAGCTGGTGCCTGTCTTTCCATTGGGTCCAAGGGTTTGGGACAGCCCTGCAGCTGTGTCCTGTTGTGGGAAGGGACAACGTCCTCGTTCCTGCCCCCAGAACAAACAACTGGCTCCCTGCACACCGGCAGCATCTTAAAGCAACTGTCCAGGCTGAAACCTGCGGGTCTGGGGGACAGAGACTGGTGGACCCCGGCACTGGGAGCCTCTGGAGCACCCAGTGTGCTGTGAAAACCCCTCGTTCCGGTTATGAAACTCCGGTGACCTACTTTACACTCCCTGCTTTTGTTCCTAATTCCCAGATATGGCCGCTCTCCAGATTTTGCCCATCAAGGCAAATTAATTGGAGTAGATCCTAATTTGCTCTCTGCTATTCTTTGGGCAGAAGATTAAATGCTCTGCAGACATTATCTGCCTCTCTCTTCTCTGAGAGACAAACCTGAATTATTAAAAAAAAAAAGAAAAAAAAAAAAGGGATAAAGGCTGCCCGAGTCCGGCTGAGTTGATGTTTGAATTCACTTTTTGTAATCGCAGAAGGGGCCGGGGAGGTTCCCATGTCCTGGGCAGCTGGAACCAGATGGTGACACTATTCTGGGCGGCTGTGTGAGTGAGATGGCACACGTGGCACAGCGGCACGAGGGCCAACCTCCCAGCCACTCTGCCCGACGCCTCCACCACACCATGGCTGAATCCTCCAGTCCTTTGCCCAGGGAAACTCCTCCCGGAGAAGGTGCCGGCCAGGGAATGACTCCTGGTCTGTGGGGATGCACTTGGGTTTTCCCAGCTGGATGGGTCGGTGTGGGGGCCACCAGCAGAAGGGGGATGGCTCCTTGCCCTCCCACAGCTCCCAGTGCCACTGTTCCAGCCTGGTGTCCCCATGGAAGAGCCCACCCAGGCGCCAGCAGAGCCGCCTCCTGCATCACCGGCACCCCGGGGAGAGAGGGAGCGTTGGAAGCCGTGAGGAGCTTGGAGGACACTGTGTCACAGGCCTGGCCACTGCCTGAGCTTGCGTGGGGATTTCTGTCGAGCCAAATGTCCAACTCTCCATAAGGAAACACCAAAAGTCAACCTCAATCCCTGCAGATCGCAGGCAGTGGGAACAGCTGAGCCGGAGTCACCTCTGCCGTGGGGGCTGTGCTCAGTCCCCCGCCTGGCACCCCATCTGCGCTCAGCTCTGGGGCTTTTTTATTCCCCAGAGAGGCATATGGAAAGTTGGATTTCTTTTTTAAGCAGCTTTAATTGAACATCCTCCCTCTCCGACCTCTGCTCAGCCTTCCCGGGACAACCTTGAGCTCTGGCCTGGCGTGGCCACTGAGGGACGGGATGCAGCAGTGCTGGTGGGAGCCCAGGCACCCAGAGCCCAGAGGGACAAAGAGGCTGCAGGGCCTCCTCGGTGCTCGGGGCTTCGCAGCCCACAGCCAGTGTCCCCAAGGAGCAAGGTGCTTATCCTGGTGAGAAAACTTCCTGCTGTAGCCTCAGGAATGGTTCTAGATGGATTCACAGGTTCCAGGGGCCAGTAGATGGTGATCTCAAAGCCAAACTGAGTGCCTGACCTGGCAGGCAGTGGATCATGTGGATGAGCAGACAGTTCCCAGCCTCATCCCTGGGTGCTTTGCCAGGCGGATGTCGGCTTTGTGTGGATGTCTGGTGTGATGTTGTCTTGGCTCCAGTGGGTCTCAGAGCACCACCGTGGCATAAATAATACAAGAGTGAGCTGCTCTGATTAAAGTTCTCAGAAGTCCGTGGTTCTGGCCCAAGAGTTGGATACGTGTTGGCTCTTTGACATTTTCCAGTGGTGATGGGCCTGGAAGTGCCTCATTTTATGTTCTCATGGGGCTGGTCAGGAAACAAAGCTGTGAGGAAGCAGCTAATGGAAGATGCATCCCCTGAGGGAAACGCATCCTTGCAGAGCACTTATCCCTGTGGCCAAGGTGAGGCAGCCCACTGCTCTACACCCAGCTGTAGCAGCTGGGATGAAGAGGAGAGGCACACGCTGGTGGCACCAAGCTGGGATGACCTTGAGAAACAGCCTAAAATAACAGGATCAACTTAAATAGGGACACATGCAAGGTTTTACAGGACAGACACAGGCTAAGCCACCTCCCGGGGACAGTGCAGAGGATGTGTGGCTGTGGAAAAATCTCCAGAATGAAAAGGGGGGGAGTAAGAGGGCTGAAAACGCACCAGCAGCACCATTACTGTGTGGGACAACAAGAACTGGGGAATTTTTCTTGCAGGGAACTGTACAACTCACCAGATCTGTCAGGTCCAGCCCAAGCAGCCCCTTCTCAACCCTCACACATTTCCACGCCTTATTGGGAATTACGTGGAGAAGAAGCTGATGACAATAGCGTGCATCAGCAGGTACAACTTTTATTACATTATGACTTACTAATCATTTTAAACAGCCGAAGATCCCAGGAGCATTGAAATAAAACCAGCTATTTTTAAAAGCATGGTAGGAGTGTGAAAATAGCCCCACTCCACCCGAACCGGCTCGGGAATGACGTGACAGCCAGGCTGGAAAACAAGCCCGGCAGTGTCGTGTTTGTATCTTCCCCAGAGAAAGGAGAGCCGTCAGCATCCCTGCAAGGTGTCATCCCTCATCCCCCTGCTTTCAGGTCATCCAGGGCCAGGACGTGGAGTGTTTTGTTGGGTATGGGCAAAGGATATGAGGAAGAAAGCCCACAGGCAGTTACCAAGCAAACTTTGCGGGTTTTGTGGCACTTCGTAGCTGAGGAAAAGAAAGGGGAAAGGAATGTGCCTCGTTATTCTGTTGTGCACAACAGCTAGCCCGCAGGGACCGGGTTTTCCCTGCCAAGGAAAAGGACCTTCCGGGCAATTCTCTTGCAAAGGGAGTGTTTTCTCAGAGCCCTGAAGCCCAGCGGGGAGCCCTCGGAGCTGCTCGGTGGGAGCAGCTCTCCCAGGCGCCCCTGGGCAGCTCTCAGAGCTGGGTTTGGCTCCGGAAAGGAGGTGAGGAGCCATCCATCCTTGGGCAGTGCATCCCCATGGCCATCTCTCTCCAAGGCAGGAGCATGGGGAGGGGGAACACCATCCCTGGGGGCCCGTGGGGCTGAGTGGGGTCCCAGGCCCTGTGGGGCTGAAGAGAGTCACAGTGTTGCAAAATGCAGAATATACTAAGATTGTCTTAAGTCAGGATGGTTTTTCATGTTTAATTTCCGTATACTTTGAAGCCTAATAAGCATGAAAGGAGACCTAATCAGTGGAAGTGGCAGAAGCCAGCATCCCTTACTCAAGGACATCCTGGATGTAGTAAATCGAGACGTTGACATATGTCTACATAGACATCACTAACTTGGCTAAAGTACTCCAGGTCCATGTATCTTAGGCCTGAACTATCTTCATTATAATACTAAAAATCACGCCTGCAGCTCAAAAAGACCCTGCCAAGGTGAAGACCTTTCCCCTGAGCATGAGTAGAATTTACCTGGTTTATGTGATTTGTATGGAAATTACCAATCAACCCAACAGAGCGGCTGTGCTTGGGAATTTACTGCCTCTGAACTTTTGTGTGTGAATAACAACACGGCAAGTCCAGCGGGACGTGCTGGATTTGTGGAATAGCCCCGAGCACCCGGGCTCGGCAGCTCTGAAATCAATAACCAGCGTCTCTCTCTCCAGTGCGTCAGGACCGGCTCGTTGCACACCGGGGAACACAGTTTTGTGGGTGACAGCAGGGCCAGTGGGGTGAGGGGGGCCCCGGGGTCCATGAGGTTGAGGGGTTCCAAGGGCCCCGTGGGGCCGAGTGGTCCTGGGTCCCTCAGGGAGCTGAGGGGTCCCGGAGCCCTGATGGGCCCCAGATGGCACTGAGGGGGGATCCCAGATCAGACTGGGGGTCCCAGAGCCCTGAGGAGCCCCAGATGGGGCTGAGGGGCCCCAGAGGGCACTGAGGGGTCCCGTGTGCGGCTGGGGTGTCCCAGACAGGGCTGGCGCGTCCCAGAGCCCTGAGGGTTCCCAGATGGCACTGAGGGGGCCCCAGGTCCTGGATGGGGCTGAGGGGGTCCCAAAGCCCGTGGGGTTGGGGGGTCCCGGAGCCCTGAGAGATCCCCGGGTCCTGTCCCTGCGGCCCCGCCAGGGGGCGGTAGAGCGGCCCCTCCCCGCGCTCCTCGGCCCCGCCCCCCGGCACCTCAGCCAATCGCCGCGCGCGGCGTCCCCGCCCCGTCGGGCGTCCCCGGCGCGCGGTGATGACGTTAAGAGGCGGTGCCGCGGCGCGGGCCGGAGCGGGCCCAGGTGAGTCCGGGCCCGGTGGCACCAGCGCTGGCACCGGCACCGCTCCTCCCTTCTCATCCCCCCTGTCTCCCTCCGCGCCGGCGGCCGTGCGTCCCGGGACGCGCGGTGGGCCCCGGCGCCTCAGCGCTGCCGCTGACCGGAGCGCTGGGCCGCGGGAACGGGCGGGCCGGGGGGCGAGCCCTGCCCGCCCCCGGAGCGTCCCCTCAGCGCTTCCTGGGCCTGGAGCCGAGCCTGCCGCGGGACGAGCTCCCGCCACCGGCCCGGCCCTGGGTCCGCTTTCCAGGATGTGTGAGAAACGGCCTGGGTCGGGATGAGTGATGGAAAGTGGGAGTTGTGGAAATCTCGGGAGAAGCTGTGAAAACAGTCAAGAGTTCTGGGAATCGCGGTTGGTTTGGCCGAGCCTGGTCCGCCCCTGGCTCTGGCACAGCTGCCTGCGGTGCTGCAGCAGCCTCAGCCCCAGGTTCCCCTGCAAAACCCACTGGAGGCTCCCGCTGGGAATGCCGGGTCTATGACGGGTTTATGCCAGTTTTGTGCCAAGTTAATGCCAGTTTTGTGTCAGCTTTATGCCAGGTTTGTGTCAGGCAGTAAGAGGCACATTTACCCTGTGTTACTAAGATGTGGTGCTCTCAGGTGAGGTGGTCTCAGTGCTGCTGTGTTGGCACAGGTGTGGTTTGCAGGTTGCTGTGTTTGGGCTTTGATTAACACAGTTAAGAGCTGCTGTCTTCAGATTTCCAAACTGGCATCTCACAGAACAACAACGTTAAAGAGCTTCAAGTTGTGATGTGTTTACTTGAGGGTGGAAGGTCTACTTGGCCTTGGGGGATCTAGGCAGGTGACTGACACCCCTTATCTGCAGGGACCTCAGCCATTCCTTCCCTGATATTTTCAGTGAGAGGACACTTCTGAGCTGGCAAGAGCTGAGGTGTTTCCCTGCTGAGCTGGGGGGAGTGAGGTGCTGCATGTCCAAGGGAAGAAGCATAAACCCCTCATTCCTTCCCACCACTTCCAGCTGCAGCTGGATACAGCTGCACACACTCAGATGTGCTCTCTCCTCTCAGACAGTTTGGCACCTGACAAGTCTGTGTTTTCTTGCTTGGAGTGGGCTTGTTATGCCCCATTTCTTTAATTCCTTTCCCCAGACTCGTGGTGATTGTTATACAGAGCGTTTCCACCTGCACCCATGTGGAGTTGGGCATTTTGGTGCTGACTCTGGTGTGCAGCTCTGGGGTTCTGTGGGCTTCCCTGGGACTCTTGGGTGTACACTGACATACTGGAGTTGCTGCCAGATCTCAGTTAATGCCATTAGAGGATTTATATATGATGTTTTCACGTGTTTGGTCCTTCTCTTCAGTTTTATTTACAGGCCTGACACTTCCCACAACTGCTTCTCTACAGGTTGAATTACTCTGTAATAACCTTGTTTGTGAATGCTCTCCCTCCATTTCTCTGTTAAGTTAATATGCTTTAAGGCTTAATAATTCTGAGACAAACTGTCCGTGGGAGGAATGATTCAGGACCAGCCACAGCTCTTTATGTTTTGTCATGGTACTTTAATCTGAACAAACCCCCACTTCCAGGGCAGCACTTGGTGAAAGTCAGTTAAGCTTCCTGTGAAGTTGGTTCTTTATTCCTATTGCTTGTACCCTACCACAGGCATGTCTGTGATGACCTCAGGGTGCTTCCCTGAGAAGTTCTTTTGGTGATGTTTGATTTTAAAACTGAATCTTAACTGAAGCCTGGTTTTCTTTCCAGGTTGGATGCAGAGTCTAAGCTTCTTCCGGACGTCCCTTTAAAACATTTCTTGTTTCTCCACCTGATTCTCCTGATGGAAAACCAGCCAGGGTTCCTTTTCTGCTGTTCATGCTGAGGAGTTGGTTGGAGAGGTGGTGCCTGAGAGGAGATTCACCCGGTGATGGTAGGACTTGAGATCACATTTCGAGATTGATGGTTTTCTGTAGCCTCCTGCAACGGCTCAGGCACCCATTGATGGGCTCTGAGCCAAAAGGTGCAAGTGTAAAACTGCCAGAGCCACAGGCAGCTTCCCCATCTCCTGGCCAGTGATACTGCTTTAATCAGCACATAAAGACTTGCCTACATGCACCTGATTTGGTTTTGTTTGAAATACAGTGTGATGAGCAAGAGCTTGTAGTCTGGAAGAGCTGGTGGAAATTCCACTTACTACACACAGCTCCATATGGAAAGCCAGAAGTGCCACTTGGTGCCTGAGGATGTCAAATAAAGCAAAACTGAGTCAGGTTGTTGAAAGATGTCAAAGCCCACCTCGATTTCTCAGGGTTTGGAGTGTGAGGGACTTGCTGACTGAAGGCTGCTCTGGTTAAGTGAACATTTCCCCTTTAGCAGGGGCTGCATCAAGTTCAGTGGTAAAATTCACCTTAAAGCCAGCGTGCCTCTGGATCCATATTCCCTTCCTGTGCCATTCCATTGATCCCCAGGAGCAAAGCAGTGAGAGGTTTAAGACACTGTACAAGATCAATATAAAGAAAGTCTTAAGCAGATTTGTTAAGTGAACAAGTTGCTGAGGTACTTTGTGGAGCTGCTAGTGAGGCATTTCAAAACTCTTAAGGTTTGCAGTAGCTGCTGTTTTATGAAGTTGAGCAGTTGAAACAAAACAAAGGAAAGTGCTTGGCTCTTTCCTTAATTTGATTTTTTTATTAAGCAATTGTGGCCGGAAAAAAGACCTCCAGAAGTCTCAACCACTCTGTGAGTACGATTCAGTGCTCAGCTGGGAGCAGAACATGAACTGTGCTTAATAAAAAAAGAAACTGTGTGATTTCCATGGACACATCCATGGTTCTGACCATGGCTGTGTTTGTAGGCACTGGCTTGTGATGAAAGCAGCAGAGCACTGTGTTTGGTCAATCCCAAATTCTTAGTTTGTGGTAGCATGGCCTACTTTTTTTTTTTTTTTCCCCATTTGAACCTTTACTACCTCGATTCCAATTTATTTGTTTCTCCTCGTTCTTTTCCTAAGGTTCAAATGTGGGAATTGTCCTGGATGTGGTTGCTGCTGATGCTCCCCTGGGAACATGCCTTGACAGGGAATTAACACCAGTCAGTGATGGGCTGTGGGACAAGCAAAGTGCTTCCCGAGCCCCCCAAAGATGTGCAGCTGGACCTGGTTAAAAAAGTTGAACCCTACACAGGCCACAGTGACATATACAAGCACTTCATCAGGGATGACTGTGGGGCTGTCATCAAGGCTGGCTCCCCCTCGCCTCCTCACCACGCCAACCCGTATCCCGGGAATGCCCTGCCCGCCCACCAGCCCGAGCCCCGCAAGAACAAAGTGGCCAAATACCGCGCCAAGTTCGACCCCAGAGTGACGGCCAAGTACGACATCAAGGCCCTGATCGGGAGGGGCAGCTTCAGCCGCGTGGTGCGGGTGGAGCACAAGGCCACCAAGCAGCCCTACGCCATCAAGATGATCGAGACCAAGTACCGGGAGGGCAGGGAGGTGTGCGAGTCGGAGCTCAGCGTCCTGCGCAGGGTCCGGCACACCAACATCATCCAGCTCATCGAGGTGTTCGAGACCCAGGACCGCGTGTACATGGTCATGGAGCTGGCGACGGGCGGGGAGCTCTTCGACAGGATCATCGCCAAGGGCTCCTTCACCGAGAGGGACGCCACGCGCGTGCTGCAGATGGTGCTGGATGGCGTCAGGTACCTGCACACGCTGGGCATCACCCACCGGGACCTCAAGCCGGAGAACCTGCTGTACTACCACCCGGGCACGGACTCCAAAATCATGATCACGGACTTCGGGCTGGCGAGCGCTCGGAAGAAGGGGGACGACTGCCTGATGAAAACCACGTGCGGGACCCCGGAGTACATCGCCCCCGAGATCCTGGTCAGGAAGCCCTACACGAACTCCGTGGACATGTGGGCGCTGGGTGTGATCTCGTACATCCTGCTCAGCGGGACGATGCCCTTCGAGGACGACAACCGCACCCGCCTGTACCGGCAGATCCTGAAGGGAAAGTACAGCTACTCAGGCGAGGTGAGTGTGCTGAGGGGAAGTCAAGAAGCTCTCCCTAGGCTGGGTCTTCGTGATGGCAAGAAGCTGCTTGTCACGTGCAGGCTGGTGACGTTACCTGGGTTAACAAAATCTGTGATTCTGGCTTTTAAAATCCTTCCCCATTTTCTGTCTGCTTTCCCAAACCGCTCCCAGTGCAGCACAGTGAACTCCTTTAAAAAACTGAGTGTTAAGAAAGAGGAGACTCTTCATGCAGAACAGAACTGGGATGCTTGTGGGTGTCTGGCTGGGGGAACGTTGGCTGTGGTAAGCTGCTGTTTGAGGCTTTGCTGTAGAAACTTGTGCCAGGGTGTTTGAAATGTGGCATGTACATACCCAGTCTGATTTCTGATACAAATCCAAGAGGAGTATGAAAAATAGCTTTGCTGAAAGGCAGGGTTCTGGCAGGCAAGGGGCTCCTGGTTCCTCAATCTGGAGACATGAGCATTTCAGAAATGGATCTGCATTGTCTTCTTGACAATGAGCTTGGTGTGTGATAAATTGAAGGGTCGAAGGATAGTTTTTGTAGATAACCATGCAAAGAGGACCCTTAGGAGATAATTCTTAGGCAGAAGATGGGTGCCCTGCCCTCCCAGAGTCCCATCACTCCGGAGAACTTCCTTCTGATCATGGTGGGAGAGCTCAGTGACCAACCAGCTCCTTCACCAACGCTATTACCAAGTGTAGCATAATCTCACTAGGAATCACATCTATAGAAAATGGGGAGATCCAAATTTGCAAGTTGTGTTTCTGCTTATATCCGTCACTGTATTAAAAACACTAAAAAATTAAGCTTTTATAACTTCTTTCTTTAATAAGTAGGAGAGTGTTGTTTAGATTCGTGAACACCATGACTTTGAGGTGAATCCCACTGGGAGAGTGTTAATGAGAGGCTAAATTTATGATTCTGTAGAGAGTGGCCCTCTGTGACCCCAGAGGTTTCCTGAGCTGGTCTGGGGATGTCATGGTGTCTGCATAATTTGGTGTATTCCCTGTAATGTCTCTGCTCCTCAGTGCATGAGCTTGTGTGTAGTGACACTGAATGTTATGACTCACTCAACTTTGTCACTTGCTATTTTTACTTTTTTGCAGGTTTTTTTAATTAAGTTTAGCATGTTACCTAACACAGGTTCTGCCTGTTCTTGTGAAATGGGGTAATCCTGGAGTCTTAGAATCTTAGAAGCAAGAGGTGGGATACTCATGTGACACCCAGTAAAATGGTGCTGATAATACTGAGTTGTTGAGGTTAAAAACAAATCTGAGGAAGCAGTGAGGGATCACAAAATAAATTGTCTGATGTTCAGTGTGGACAAACTTGAGCTGGTCCCATGGGAAGACGGGCAGTTTGAATTTTCTGTAAGTGATGGTGGGCCCTGAAGGTGCTTCTTGCTCTTCAGAAGAAACAATTTGAGGTTAAATACTGCTAAATATCATCTTGATACTTATGATCAAAAGCTAGTTGATACTAGGAGTGAGTGTTGCTGTTGCAGGTGTCCTTGCTGTGCCATGCCCTTGAATATGAAGTGCAGTTCTGCATCCTCTGGATAAAAACACAGAACTGAAAAGCATGTGTAGAAGGGCAGTGTGAATAACCAAAGGTATGGGCTGGCTTACATTTGAAGAACGAGTGAACAGACAGGGGCCCTTCCTCCAAAAAAAATCAACGTTTGAGGGGAGTCTCTGACCAAACTCAGTGCAGCCATAGGCAGTCTGGAGAGAGGGAATTGAGAGCAACGGTTTTGAAGGTTCCCTGGTGTCATTTACTTTGATGTCCACTGATCCTTGTGCCAGGAGGGACTTATTTTGAGAAATTTTGTGGATTCATTGCAGCTGGGGCCACTGGATGCTCGTAGGTTGTATGTGCAGAGGTAGCACATGTGCCACAGAGAAAGCATTAGACTGGGTGTTGTGTGCCAGTGCACAAGCCTGAGGCATTTTACTTGTTATCCCACTACAAATTACACACTTTAGGGGGGTATTACGGATACTATGTGTGACATGAGTGGTTGTTTTGGAAAGCTGTCAGTGTTTTACTGCTTGGAAAGCAAATATGTGTCAGCCAGCAGCCCGTGTCTGCTGCTGGGATGCTTTCTGTTCCTCCGGAGCCGGTGAAAATGAATGCTTTAATTTACCAGTGTAATTAAGCCCATGCCCCTAAATTGCAGACGTAGCCAGGTATTGGCAGGAGATGCAGTAAAAAGGCTGCTCGTTTTGTGAATAAATTCTAGGAGAAAACAAAGTGAGCCAGAGATTTAGAGGTGTCTGGTGTGCTTCCCACAACCTTGCCAGCATTCTTAAAAGCCACCTCCTGGGCTTTTAAATGCTTCCGAATTTCTGGTGTTCACAGAAAATTCCCCTTTTTTTTTTTTTTGTGTGTGTGTGTGTGTTACACAGGAAGATGTCAGAAATGAGGCTGTTGATAAGTTTGTCAGACTAATGGTAATGACAGGAGCCATAAGTCCTGGTTTCTTTGGAGCAGGAGTGGGCAGAGTACTTGAGTGCATTGCAGAAAGTGTCTGTCTTGGATAGATGCAGAAGCAGAGGTTTCATGGGAGCCACTGCTTTTGTTGTCTGTAGTCTGAAGTTTGAGGATGTGAAATGGAAGAGGAAATGTTAAAAGAAGCCTGTGAACTGCGGTGCCCAGAGCTGACAGCTTGAGTTCCAGGGGGGAAGGAGGAAGGTGTCTTCAAACTGCACCAGGTCAGCAGCAGCAGTGCCCTGGGTTTGCAGTCTCAGTGCTCAGTCCTGCTTTTTGAAAAGTCTGGCCTCAAAACCTGGTCAGAGAGGACAAAGCTGTATTGAGAGAGGAATAAAAGCCAAGATGCATGCTGACCTGAGAAGTAGCTCCATGTTCTTGGAAAAACAAGTCATCTCACATCCAGCTAATGTAATTGCTTTCTGTCTGGGACCCTCTTACCCTGGGCTCCTGTTCCTGGAGTGTGAGGTCTGTTTGAAGAGGCCATTAGCAGATCAATAGGAGAGGTCTCCCACAATAGGTTATTCAGGTACTGCTGACGTCACTGCACTGATTATCTCTCATACCTTCTTCTGTACTTTTTGAACTCCTTGGAGTAATGGCTAGGGTGAGGAATGAAGGAAAGCTGGCTTTGTAACTTAGTATGCTTTCTTTTTTCTGAGCATCCCTGAGTAAGGGTTGGGTGGGCTATTGACACTGCATTGGATGTAGCCTGCTGCAAAGTTATTATCTTTCACCTGTTTCGTTAGAACTTACTGAAAAGAAGGCTTGGCAATATTTTAATTGAAATCTTGGGGATAAAACTGATTTCTGGGGGTCTCTTTGTAACTTAAAAAAGTTGATTGAGGAATAAAGCTGGAATAACATTCACAGTTTCCTTTGAAAGTGCAGAAATGAACATCAGACCATCATTATCCTGCTAGGACAGGATTGCTCTACTTCTGTTTCAAAGCTTCTCCTTCTGTTGAATACCAGTACTTTTATGCTGCTTTTTACACACCTGGGAAAATTGCCTGAAGAAGTGGAAGGTAATAGATGTTATGGTTAAATTGGGAAGCTGAGCTAGGGTGTATGAATTGTTCTGGTTTTGCTATCTGATCTGGGCAAATCATTTTCCCTTGTGGTCTGTTTTCCTATTTATAGAACAGAATCAGCTTTTTTGTGGTGTGTTCACAGTGGGTGAGGTTGGTGTGGGCTGCTGTGGGAACATCTCTTAATCAAACACCCTAAAAAGCTTGTTCTAAATAATGGTGCTGGTGGATGCATTGGTAAATGGGGTGTAAGGAGAGACATGTTTGATACACGAAGTTGGGCAGTGCAAGTCTGGAGGAGCTCTGCAAGGGACTGAGCAGCCGTGCAGAGAGAACAACTGGCCTGGCTTCCTGCAGTAGTGTTCCAGTGCCTACCACTGAACTTAAAACTACAGGAAGATTTAGGCACAAAGGGACCTCAGGAAATCTCTGGACCAAACCCCTGTTCTGAGAAGGGCTGAATTTTAAGCTAGATGAGGTTTTTTAGCACCTTATTCACTCCAGCTGCCGTGAGGGTGGAGATGTCACCACCTCTCTGGGCTCTGTCCTGGGGCAGCCCAGTTCTTGTGGGAACTGTGATTTCTCTTTACATCCAGATAGAATTTACCCAGTTGCAGCTGGACAGTCACCACTTGCCTTTTCACTGGGCACCTCTGAGACATCTGGTGGGGTGTCCTCCTCCCTAAGTGCCCTGACAGTGCTGGCAGATGCAGTTAGATCCATTTCTCCAGCTAGCTGAGGTCCTTCTGGATGGTGTTCCTGCCCTCCTGCGTATCAGCAGCTCCTCCAAAGCTTTATCAAAAGCAACCAAGAAACACATACTAAAAACTTTAATGGTAAAGAGAGATTTGCAGCTCAAATGCCTCGAGAGCAGAGCCAAAGGAGGGGCCTAACATGCAGATTGTATGTGCATTGCATTTCTTCTTTTCTCTCCTTGAACATTCAGAACCTTAATGATTTTCCACCTTAGCTTGGAGTTGAAAGCACCAGGTTAAATGCAGGTGTTGAGTAAACTCTACAGGTCCTCCATGGATAGGTTCAGGCTAGAAGAACACCCTTGGATACAGGAAAACCAAGTTGCTCTAGATGGGTAGCTGAGTGGAGTGGTGTGAATGGTGTTCCCACAATAACTGACTCGACCTATGTAGGTAAAGGAGCAAAACACTTTCTCCCCGAGCAGTTTCTCTGCCTGCAGGTGATAGGAGAAGCAGGAAACATGGAGTGCATTAACAAACAAACTGTGCATGTGCTACCTGACAGACAGCAAGATAAAAATAAAGCCATTTTGAGGCAGCTGATGCATGTTTACAGGATGAGTCCTTACCCAAGTACGTGGGCACGTCTGCAGAGCGTTTTCAAAGTATCCTTGTAATTGTCCTCGTTGTGGAGGACTTTTAATCCCTCAAATCCCTTGTGACACATGATGAAGGAGACAGGTGACAGGCTTGTCAAATTTTAATATTAATTTCCTGCATTTA